TGTACGTTAGACCAGGATGAGTGGGATGTTAAATGGGATTGGGTGAACTGAAGACCGTGGGTACGGTTTAGAAGACACTTATCTATTGTTTCGTTTCAGAAAGATGCAAAGTGCATTATATATGGTGGGTGTCGAATCCAACAAATAATAATTTACTGAGTAAGGTCGTATCCACAGAGATTGGTTCGATTTAATTTTATTCCAAAATTTAAATAAAGAATGGAATGATAATTCGAGTTCAACAAGCATTAATAAAATGACAAAGAATATTAAGTAAAAATGAATCACAGGAAAACTAGTATCCAACCCAAGACATAATGTCAGAATTGATACAAAGAAGTGATCATTGAAATAAAGTGTAAAGGCTAATGTGTCATCTAGCACCATGAACCATAATCGATTATTCATCCCCGAACTTTCACATCATATATATTGTTGTCCCGGTAGGTTTCGAAAGGAGAGTCTAGAAGGGGGTGGGGGGTGAATAGACTCAACTCGATGTTCACAGAATAACTCCTTTCAGGGTTATTACGCAGCGGATATGCTAGACGAGTTTTATATTGCTTTGCACAGTTTGTTGCTTTATGAAACTTTCGGTTGAGATTGTATGATATGCAATGCACGAAAGTAAAGCAAGGAAAAAATAAAGAGAGAGAGATGAGAGATTTTTATAGTGGTTCGGCCAACTGTGCCTACTCCACTTTCTTTCACAACTTGTGAAAGGTTTGCACTATCACTCCTAGTACAAATAACACCAAGCTAGCTTCCTTGATCACTAAGCCGGACAGCTAATTGAAGGTTTTTCAACTCCTAGAGTTTACTCCGCTCTATCAACATCTTCTTTAGAGCTGAGGGTTGGAAGAAAATATCTGCGAGGTTCTCCAACGGGTTGAAGTCTTGACTAACTAGTTGAATGATGGATGATCAACGTATATAAGTTGCAAGACTTCTTCAAGGTTGTGAGGATGAAATCTGATAATTCTTATTGTAAACTTCACACCTTGAAACACTAGTTTTCAAAGCTTAAGAGAGTGAACTTGTATAAGGAGCTTTTGAATATGTATGATCAGTTGAGATAAAAACCAGCAACTTCTATCATGGAGAAGATGGGTATTTATAATAGAGAAAATATCCATCCGTTGGAGGGGATGATATTTCAAACTTATGAACCAGTGGGTAATAACCGGAGAGCCTGGTACATTTAATGCTTCATTAAATGCAGTTGTGCCATATAGTCGTTGGAGGCAAGAACTTCTGCAAGTTTTGTCTTCTAGCTCTGAAAAGAGGTACAATGACATTTAATGCACCTTGATTAGTGTGCTCTTCATTCTTAGGATAACTTATTCCTAGGATGATCCATCAGCTGAGACACAACATTCTTCTTGAGTTGAGAGAAGATGGATTGTCTTGGCAGTCTGGTCGTTAGAAATAATGTCTCTGGACGAAAGATTACTTTCGGTTTCTGTTCACGGCGGTAAAGGATCATCTATCCATTCGTGGTCTGTCCAAGATGTAGCTTTGCTTCAATCATCCGCTCTTCTTTCGTTCAAAAGAAACCTAACTAAAAGATCATAACTCGATTTTGTGTGTTTAACTACCTTAACAAGAATTACACAGTGAGTTATGGATACCTTTCGTCTAGAAAGAAGGTAGCAACAGATATGACAAAAATTAGGGGTCTACAATCTAAGTTACATTGGTATCATCAAAATCCTAATACATATATTCCTAACATATATCAAGCCACAAACAAAAAGAAAAATTCATCTAGAACTTTTAGTAGGTTTCCCTATCTTCCTGCTGACATGGCGCCAGTTTCCCCCCCAAATCGTATATGAAACCACGCTCAACCAAAGACGTAGCATTCAAACGAGGATGACCCAGGCGTGGAAAATCCATGTTAAGTTGATTTAGTGGGTATGTTTCTAGGCTGAAGGTGACGGAAGGCTGAAGGTGACGGCAGGTTGAAAGTGACGAAGCGCGCTAGCTGCGTTAACATGTATGTTTTCTATACTTTTCTGTTATATAATATTTCTATATCTTTGTGTGAATAATATATATATATATATATATAGTATATATGTGTGTGTGTGTGTGTGTGTGTGTGTGTGTGTGTGTGTGGTGTGTGAGTGTGTGTGTGTGCGTTGTGTGTACTGTTGCCTGCACATAATATATATAATGTGTAAATTTTTCTCTTTTCTGTGAATTATATATATTGTACTGTTGCTGCGCATAATATATATGATGCGTACATTCTTTTTCTTTTCTTTGCATTATATATATATATATATATATATATATATATATATATTATTCACAGAAAAGGGAAAAATTTATACACATCACATATATTATGCGCAAAGCAGTGAATAATATAATGTTGATGTACAGTTACTGTGAATACAAATGTGTATGCTTTTGATACAATAGGTCCTACTAAGCTTCTTTGATTTGAAAAGATAGGGACAAAGTGTTAGAAAAGTGGAAAAGAATACGTGTTTACAGTTCTGCATTCATATATGAAATTAGCTATTAGACCATTAGTTTATTAATTAATTAATACAAAACTGGAATATAATGTTTTCTTCTAATTAAGTTTTACTAGTCATTGAATGGGGAAATCTTTTGGCCAAGGACTGAAGGTGATGAAATACTTGCTCCTATTCCAACGAAGATGACTGGTAGGCCAAAAAAAAAAAAAAAAAAGAAAGCTTGAAGAAAATGAAAAAAAAAACAAGCAAAAAATGAGTGAAGAGTTAGAAAGTTGTCTAAAAAAGGAAGAATTATGACATGTCAATTATGCAAGGGAAATGGACATAACAAACGATTTTGTCCTACATTGTCAACCAACAAGCAGAATCTGCTGGTTCTTCTACTGTTAGAGGAAGAGTGATGGTTCTTCTGCTGTTGGAGGAAGAGGAAGACCATTGGCTGCTGTGAGAGGGAGAGTGAGAGAAGGAGGGAGAGGAAGTGGAAGAGGGACAGACTTGTTTCAGGAAAGCTTTGTTAGAATGTCAGGTAAATTAATTGAACATAATGCGGATTTAAATAACTCATATAGATGGCTCTTAGCAGTTTATGATTTATTGACAATGCTTTCTTCTTTTCTGTAGCTTGCGCAGAGTCAAGCTCAATGGGACCATGAAGGCAAATGAAGATTGATGGAGTCACTTTTTTTTTTCTCTTTATTTTTATTTTTGTTTTTTGTTAACTAGCTGGTGTTTATAGCTACTATATCTATATGATTTTGTTTTTTAACTAGCTAGTAGATTATGAATTGGGAGTTTATTTTGTTTTGTTCTTCGCAATATATATATTTTACAGTTTATATTAGTAACTTCATTTCATTTTTTTTTAATTTCACTTGGTTTAGTTGTTGACCATCTAAATGGTTTTATGTGGATGAATAAGCAATATATATTCAAAGGGCCCTCGCAAATTATGTTGTGCATCCGTATACACCATGCATGGTGCATACGGATGCAAAAATGACGTCGTTTTGGTTAAAAAAACGCGCGTCCCACTTAAAAAAGAAATCAGGTTCGATTCCCGGCAATAGCATTTTTATATATCCATAAATTCATAACTATATCTCCATAAATTCATAAGTATATATCCATAAATTCATAACTATATATCCACAGTTAATGAATGAAGTAAAAATCCACAACGAATGAACTAAATATCCACAATGAATGAACTAAATATCCACAATGATTGAACTAAATATCCACAATGAATGAACTAAATATCCAGAAATTCATAACTATATATCCAGAAATTCATAACTATATATCCATAAATTCATTACTATATATTCACAGTGAATAAATGAAGTAAATATCTACAATGTATGAACTAAATATCCACAATGATTGAACTAAATATCCACAATGAATGAACTAAATATCCAGAAATTCATAACTATATATCCAGAAATTCATAACTAAATATCTAGAAATTCATAACTACATATCCACAATAATGCTATTGCCGAGAATCGAACCTGAATTTTTTTAAGTGGGACGCGCGTTTTTAGTCAAAGAAGACGTTGTTTTGCATCGTATGCACCACGCATGGTACATTCGGTTTCACAACATAACTATTGTTCAAAGTGCTGATGGATATATTTATGTGGGAAAATACTAAACAAAAAAAAATTAGCATTTCTATAAATTAGGAAAACTAGAATAATACTAAACAAAAAATTAGCCAAAAAATATGAATTCTCGAAAAAACAAAAGAAAGTTGAAACATTGGGATTGAAAATTTGAAAAAGTATAAATTATGAAAATAAAGAGAAGAAAATTATAGTTTTTTTAATATAATAATTTTTGTTTTTTAAATTTTAAATATGTAAATGCTTACATGGACAACATAAGGTAAAGAGAAATGCCACATCAGGCCATGTCAACAGGAAGATATGATAACCTGCTAAAAGTTCTAGGTGATTTTTTTTTTCTTGATTTGTGGCTTGATATATACGATATGAAAGTTCATGGTGCGGGATGAATAATCAAATATGGTTCATGGTGCTAGATGACACTTTAGCCAAGTGTAAATTCTTTTATCCTACACCAAATTGGTTATTGTTATTAACAAGCTCGATCTAACAACATATCTCTCCTTACTTTATCGGTAATCAAAACAGGCTCTTCAATTACTTCTCTAGATAATTAACAACCCTAAATAAGCCCTTAGGATTTAATTAACTATCAGCATTAAGAATTAGAAAGACTACCAATTTTAGCCGACAGACTCGCAAGCTCAGTCCATTTAAACTAGACTATACATCTCCATAACATAAGATTGAAAATCTCTTTTATAATCAACTATGTTATTTTACGACTAAGGTTTAGAACACTTAAACAATTACAGATTTAAGAATTCGAAATGGCAATTTACTGGATTGATAATTGAACAACAGATCCTTTTTGTACAATTAATCAAAGCAGTAATATCAAGATAATAGAAGGCATATAAATAGTGTAGCATAAAAGAAAATCAAATTAGATCTCACAATTCTAACAGAACTAAAACTTCAATTATTATTGAGTTGGAAAATAAACTTAACAACACATCAAATGTACTGACTGTCCTCTATTGAATAATTCAGGCCTATTTATACTAATTTCAGCACCCTAATCAGCTAAAAATAATCCTAATTTCCCTAACATCCTCAAATTGAATCAATTTCTTCAACCACATAAAACCTAGAAAATAAATAATATTTATTTTCTAAATCCTACGCACCAAAGAAAATAAGCTCCAGTTGATTTCGTCCGTTTGTGGTAGCAGACTAGCAGTTCGAAGCAGTCGCAGAAGTTGTTCGCCCATGGAGTCATTCATCGCAGCAGACCGATGTCGTCGCTGCGTTCACAGAAGACGCTCGGAAGAAGTTTCGCTAGTGTCTACATACGTAAAAAGCTTATAAGGGAAAAAAAAGATAAAGAAAGGACAAATATATTAAACGGGGCAATTTATGTTGTCCATCTGTGTGCACCTGGATGCAAAAAACGGCATCGTTTTACTTAAATAAAAAAAAATCATTTTCGATTGCCTTTAGTTACGTAAACATATGTTCATAATTTTATAATTTCATATTCTATATTTATAGTTATGAAATTATAGATGTGTAGTTATGCAATTCTGGATTTGTAGTTATGAAGTTATGGATGTCTAATTATGCATGCAATTCTGAATGTATAGTTATGAAGTTATAATTTCAAATGTATAGTTATGAAGTTTGGATGTGAAGTAATGCAATTTTGAATGTATAGTTATGAAGTTATGGATGTGTAGTTATGCATGCAATTTTGAATGTATAGTTATGAAGTTATGGATGTGTAGTTATGCAATTCTGAATTTATAGTTATGAAGTTATGGATGTGTAGTTATGCAATTCTGGATTTATAGTTATGAAGTTATGGATGTGTAGTTATGCAATTCTGATTTTTTTTTTAAAGGTCGGACGTCAAAACCACGTCGTTTTTACAACCGTGTGCACCATGCAAGGTGCACACGGTTGCATCATGCATGTGTAGTTTGGGCTGCTGAAATTAAAAAAAAAAAAAAAAAAAAAAAAAAAAAAAAAAAAAAATTAACCTACTTTAATTCCACCTTGCCCAACTCTTATTAATTAACAAATGTATTCCCCATGGCCGAAAAATGACATTTAAGCTTAAATTATTCAAATAACTATTATATTAATACAAAATATAAAATAAAGTTTAAAATAAATATAATATTAAATAAATAAAACTAATTTATTATAATAAACTATCTAAATTAAATATATTAATCGTACTTATCAATATACTTGTGGGTAGCCTGGTTTTTTAGCAATTATATCATGGACCACGGTCCACAAAGCTTTGTAGACCATGATCCAAAAACGGCGCCGTTTCTTTAAGTAAAGAAATGGCTGCCGTTATAGCTTAACGGAGCGCGTATTTTTGGTGTGTTAATTACAAAATGAAACTACAGTGTATCTAAACTGAAACTGTCTCACATATTGTTTTTATATTATCAAATGAAACTGCAATTGAATTGAAACGAAACTATAGTAGTGTTGAAATGAAACTACAGTGTATACAAAATGAAACTGAATAATAATTTCACATATTTGAGTGTATATTATCCAACGAACCTGTAGTTATATCAAAACAATACTGTAGTTGTGTTGTAATAAAACTATAGTGTATATAAAATGAAACTATAGGTATTATCCTACCGCCGCCGCGTCCAAGCTTCGACGCCATCGCCGTGTCCAACCTCTGCCGCCATCGCCGCCTCCATCCTCTGTCGTCGTCGGTCCAACCGCCGCCGCCGTGAAGAACTGAGGTTTAGCTTTTAAGGTTAGCTTTTCTATTGTAATGTAATAAGCTGTCAAATTCATCCAAAAGTTATCTGATTGTATCAATGTGTGTGTTTATGCTAAACAATTTTGGATTTTAGCTAGGGTTGGGGAATTGGGGTTTGAATTTGTGCAAAATTTCTGTGAAATTTCGCTATTTAATGTTCATATCTTGAGTTCTAAGCACCCTGCAATAATAAAAATTTAGTCATTTTGTATAAGGAACTCAAAAAATAATATCAGTTAGTTATTTCCTTATATAATAAACAACATTAAAGGTTTCTCTCCATTAACTTTATGTACCTATTGGATGTCATCACTAGTAGTTGTAGTTGTAACTAATGGTGGATCTCCATTCTCTATTCGGATCGACCTACTTTCAAATATATGCATGCGCTTCTTAAGGTCACGGTTTTCTTCATCCTTCTCAAGGAGTTTAGCCTCTAGCTCTTTGATGTAAATAGATTTTGTGTCATTTAAGTTTTTTCGCTTCACTCCACCCCCATAACCATATACAGGACCATGACGTTGTTGTCCAAAATGTTTTTCAACAATTTCAAGGTTTGAAAGTGATGGGTTAGACCTAATAATCTTCACAATTTCATTCTATAAAAAGTTTACAAGTAAACAAGATTAATGCAGAAGTATATCAAGATAAAAAGATTAATGCAGAAAGGCTAAATAATGACACTTAGCTTACATATTTTTCTTCTTCTTTTGTCCCATTTAATTTTTCAATTTTGCTTCTAGTCTTTAAGAAAATTACTCCCAAGTCAGGCGGTTGTGAATCTTTACCTCCCAATAAGTTGAGAAAAACAAATGTCATTCTAGGTAAAAAAGAAAAAAAAATTCATATATAACTAGCAGAACTGTTTTTTTTAGTACATTTTCAATATGATTTCTCTATGTGGGTTACTCCCTGTGCGATAGGCATTCCCATATCTGATGTTGACCTATTCTTAGTGTTTTGCTAACTGATTTTCTGCATAACTTTCAAATGTAAGTGATTATTTAAATAAAAAATATTTTTTTATAATATATAAAACCGTCATTACCATATCAGATCAACATACTTGAAACTTTTCTGTCATAAATTTGTTAGTGACAAACCACTTCCAATCTTCAACATCTACTCCAGGTGGAACACTTTTTAAAGCCTCGGTCTTACTTGATGCAAGGTCTCAGAAATTTTATATTCAAAAGTGACCTCCAATTTGTCCACAAAGTATAGATATGCTCTAGGGTATCATCACGATATAACTCAATATTTGGATTATCAAAATATTTGA